GTATTATTTTTTAGCTAATTTAATATGGATATTTATATTTTTACTGTTTTTAATGTTTGATCTTAATTGTGAGCCACCCAGAATCACCCTGTAGGGGAGATGGGCAGCATATAAATTTAATAAATAAACAAACAAACAGATCCTTAGAAACCTTGTCATTTCAGTTCTGATAAGCAATAATCCATTAAGGGTTACCAGACATAACAACATATCTATTTTAACCTCAATCAAATAAATCAACTTTATATTCCTTCCTTTTATTTTTAACAATCTTGATCTTTAGTCCATTCAAATAATGTCCTAGAACTTGATTTCTTTTCATTTTTTCTTTATCCCTTCACAGAAAATTCTTCAAAGCTTTAACAAACCTCTTTTGTAAATCCAAAATAGGAAAATTATCCAGGTCACACTCTTGGTTTGCTATTTATATATTTTTATTTATTTTATTTATTTATTTGTCAAAATTATATGGCAAGTGACTCTGAGCAGCGTACAAAAAAGCTAAAACAGTTAATAGATACCTAAACCAATAACATTATTATTAAAAAAACATATAAATGTATTTATAACTGCTGTCAAAAAGAACTGGAAGCTCCTTTGTAATCTTTTCTTATCTTTTTCTATTTTCTTTCTTATTCATTATTCTTTTTTATTTTCTTTGTTTCTTTTCTAATATTTGTATTGTTTTTATCTTGTTAAAAATTATTCAATAAAAATTATATAAAAAAATAACTAAGTGTGACCAGTACTGTCTCTGTGCTATGTCCAGGCTTGAAACCTGACTGAAAGGAGTCCAGATAATCAGTTTCCTCCACGACCCTCTGTAGTCACAGCCCCACCACCTTTTAAAAAGGTTGGAGATGGGATGAAAATTGTCCAGTACAGTTTAGTCCAGTGAAGGCTTCTTGAGGACAAGGTATACTGCTACCTCCTTCAAGTCAGTGGAGACCACTCTCTCCCTCAGTGAAACCAAGATTACAACAGAGACCCAACTATCACCACCAACCAGGAAGGACAGGGATCTAATAAACAGGTGGTTGGGTTAGTAAACCTGAGGATCCTTTCTATCCCCTCCTTGCTTATTAACCGCTCATTCAGTGACTGTTCAAATTTATGATGCCGCTGAAAAAGGAAAAGTGCTGAAAAAGATTTATGGCCAGTTGCGCCCATTGCAGCATTTCCACAGTCACGTGATGATTCGGGCACTTGGCAACTGTGACACATTTATGATGGTTGCAGTGTCCTGCAGTCCCATGATTGCCATTTGCAACCTTCACAGCTGGCTTCCAACAAGCAAAGTCAGTGGGGAAGCTGGCAGGAAGTCATAGGTCATGGTCACATGACATCACACTTAACTACCATGGGTGATTCACTTTACAACTGCAGCTGGAACTGATATTGTATGTCAGCATGGTCATGTGATGTTTCACTTTACAACTGCATCGCTTAGTGGTGGAGTTGCTGGTCCCAATTGCAGTGGGTAAGTGTGGACTACCTGTATAAGCAATCTTTCTCAGTAAGTTCATCCCTGCCAAAGGAGGAGTGAAATGTGTTGAAAGACATGAAAGTAAATTTATTCATAATTTAAATGACTAGGAGGAATATATCAGTCTCTTTCTTATGCTGTAGCAGGCTAAAGATTGACATATCATAGAACAGAGGTGTGTAACTTTGTTCATGCTGAAGGTCACACTTAGCCTTTAAGCGAGAAGGGAAAGCAAGTAGAGGAGATGGAGATTAGCAGTAACCTGGGGAGATGAAAAGTTGGTGAAAAATTGGTTGGAATTTCAAGCACATTAACTACAAAATATTTAAAAATCAACTAGTAAAACTCTTATTATAGATGTATTCTGAAATGTAAATCTGGAGAGTTTTCTCCATATATGATCAACAGTTTCATTTAGGCTTTATCCTAGTTTATTTTTCTAATTTGTGTTGTTCTATTATTTTGGCCTTTTTTCTTTTTACAGATAGCAAAGAGTAATTCCTGGCATGCTAGATATACTGTGCTAACCTACCTCCAGACTATGGTATTTTATAATCTTTTTACCTTCTTAAACAATGAAGAAGCTGTGAACAACATCAGATGGCTGGTTATAAAACTACTAGAAGATGAACAGCTTGAGGTGAACACATTCTTGTGCTTCCATTTTTTTGACAAAATGTGCAAAATCTATTTGTGGAAAGAATGTGGAACCATAGCTTTGGGCATGATCTAGTCCAAATGTACATGCCCTTGGTGAGCAAATTAAACATAGTCCATGGCAATTTGTTATCATTCCTATATTTTCTTATTATTGCTCTTCCTAAATTCATCACAGTTTTACCTAGTAAGTTGTCCATGGGTCAGTAAAAGTTTTCCACTACTGCACTGTACATTTATTCCTCAGTGATCCATTAGATTTCCAATTTGTAATAAGTACAGTTTTTGCTAGTACTAAGACTTAAATGAAATATATGTTTAAATCTTCCCCAGTGGGAATTGAAAACAGTAGGACTGAAGATGCTTAACACTGAATATATCATACTCTTTTGTTCTGATTTATTTTGTTTTACATTAGTGCCAAATGTATTTCTTAATTATCATTTAGTTAGCTGAAATAACATTGTTTATGACATTCCACCTGCTGATATCAGATGATAAAAATGTTGTATGAAATAGGTATTGGAGACATAACAATTTTCTCAATGCAATCGCTTTAGAAGGGGTCCAGTCAACTTTTCTAAGGATTCTACTTCTTGTACCCAGATGTATAGACAATTCCTTATGAAGATTAGAAACAGACTTGATCTCATTAGAGGCCTGAATCTGATTTTGCCATCCTGAAATATTGGTTATATTTCAAGCTAACCTTCTTTGAAATTCCTTAGCTGCCTTGAGCTTGCAAGATAATTTAATTTCTTCATGGCTAATTGAAGTAAGGTCTAATCAAAGACTCTGGATTTTCCACTCAATATCTAATCTCAACCAGCAATGAGAAAGTTCTGTTGGAAATAAATAATGCAGTCTGGACCCAGTCTTACAAAAGGACCAAAGCTTTATTTTTTAAACAAGATTTTGCTGCAGCCAAATATCTTACCAGCATTTGCTGCCCAACATACAGTAGAAGAGCCCATATAATAGTCAGACTCAAGATCTTACTTACTTTCAACTCTGCTGGAAGGGAGTTTCAGTGGCACACCAATGGATGACCTTCTGTGCACTTGTCCCTTAGAGGAAATTGACTCAATAACACAGGTCCTTCTGTGTCACCCCTTATCAAGTTAATGTAAAAGTTTTATTTTATGTTGTTATTTTATTATTTTTCCATATCTTTTTATCCTGTTTTACAATTGTGTTTAATTTTGGTCACTAAATAATAATAACTCTACTACTACTGACAAAGCAGTAAAATCTATAAATGTAGGGCCATATCATTATACTTGATAGGAAGACCTTGGAAACAATTTGTTTCCCAAGTGTCAGGTATTTGAAAAAAAAATCAAATTTGTAAGTAATCTTAAAACTTGAAACATTCAATTCCTATTCCAGTGCTAAATAGCCAGGAGTGCTACTGAATCTATCTTTCTGTTACACATTCATTTAAAAAGTCATCCAGTAATGTAGAACAATTCACTCTTTTAAATTTTACAGGTAGTCCTTGCTTAATGACCATTTTTTCAGCTACCATTCAGAGTTATGATGGTGCTGAATTAATGGTAGTTACAACCAGTCCTTGAAGTTATGGCCGTTGCAGCGGCCCCACAATCACATGATCAAAATTTGGGTGCTTGGCAGCCTACCCGCACTTATAACCACAGGGGTGTTTCAACTCCCACACCCGCCTATCACCCCCCCTCCCACATCTCTACTCTTTTGGCCACCCTGCACTCCGCTGCCTACCCATGCCACCCCTGCCACCGCTGCCCCCAGGTGACCTTTATCATTTTCCTCCTCCTGCTGGCCCAGGATCCAGGCAATGGGTGAGGGCACAGCCCTGGGATATGCCTAACAAGCGTGACAGGGCGTCAGAGCCTCGTCTGCCAAGGAAAGCTTGCCCAGGCCGGCCGGCGAGGATGCAGCAGAATGGAGCTGGTGGAGGAGCTAGGGTGGTGGTGTAGGCAGAGATGCCCTGTCTCTGCCAGCACAAGGAGTGATAGCCTGTAGACCATGGATAGCTCAGCAGGACAGGATGGCGAGGTGCGGCGTGCAGCATGCGCCGTCACCAGGAGAGTCCGTGACAGTTCCCTGGGCAAAGGTTGTGGTTGTGCAGGATGCACTGTGTGGGGTAGTAGCAGAACTAGAGGAAGCAGAGGGATGAGGGCTTCCCAGAGATGCAATGCACACACTGCAACTTGCATTGGAAGTGCTCCTGGAGAACTGGCCCTTCTTGAGGCTTGCAGGAGGAAGGCTGGGCTGAGTGAGCAGAGGGCCTGTGGGTAGGGTTAGTCTGTACTGGGCTCGCCTCCACCCCTTGCTGAAGCCTGAAGACCAGTTCTCCAGGAGCACTTCCAACAGAGCACATGCTGCATGCTGGGAAGCCCTTGTCCCTCTGCTTCCTCCACTTTGCTGCCATCCTGAACAGCGCCTCCCATAGAACCTCCACCTTTGCTCAGGGAGCTGTCTGGTCCCGCTGCACTCTCAACAGTCTGCAGGCATTTGCTCCTTGTGGCAGTGGAAGACAGGACTCCTCTGCCAACTCTGCCCCACTGCCTTCTCCCTGGCTGGGCCTGGCAAGTCAAACTGCTGCTCACTTGCTATGTTATCTGGACCTTAGAACCCATACCAAATTTGTAAAAGCTGTGATAAAACAATTTCTACATTTTCCCTCATTAAAAAAAAGTTATGAAGTTATAAGAACTCCTATGCTATAGTCCCTGGTTGGGTTTCCATGTACTGTAGTTTGCAGGACTTCTCCAAGATGGCAGCTTACTTCTGTACCCTGATCCTTTATGTGAGCATGGATATATATGGCAAAATACATTCTTATTTATTAATTTATATGGCCACCCATCTCACAGAAGTGGCTCTGAGTGGCAAACAGAGATTAAAAACCCAACTGTTGAAAACAAAAACCCATGACATGAAGTAAATGACACATTTCACTTCTAAAATCCCATCCACAACAGAGCTTGCCTAACCTCCTGGCCTGAACGCCTGGAGAAACAGGCAGGTCTTCAGAGCCTTATGAGAGGCTAATAGGGTCAGGGGCATCTGGATCTCTGGGAGGATGCTGTTCCACAAGGCAGGTGCTGCCACAGAGAAGCCATGACGCCTGGGTCCACAAGATAATACTGTTTAATAGAATTTGCTAGATCTGGTGGGGCAAGCAGAAACAGTCAGAAAAAGGCAGTCCCACAAGTAACCTGGCCTGATGCCATGCATGGCTTTATAGATGAGAACCAGCACCTTGAATTGCAGCTGGAAGCCTACTGGGAGCCAGTGCTGCTTGCACAGCAGCAGTGTTATGAAGGTGTAATGAGAAATGGCAAAAACTGCCCATGCCACTTCATTCTGGATCAGCTGCAGCTTCCAAATGCTCTTCAACGGCAGCCCCGTGTAGAGTGCACTACAGTTATCCATACAGGAAGTAAGTAAAGCATGAATCACCATGAGCAATTCCTCCTGATCCAGAAATGGACACAATTGATGCACAAGGCAAATCTGCACAAAGGCCCAACCAGCCGTGGCTGCCACGTCTTCAAGCAGGTGCATGAGCTTAAGTCCAGAGGACACCCAAATTATGCACCGATTCTGGCTGAGGAAGTGAACTCCCAGGCAGAGTTATAAATGGAAAATCTCCAGACCCCGAAGGCCTTAAAATCCAGTTGCTCAGTCTTGCCAGGGTTGAGCCGAAGCCTGTTCTCCCACATCCAGACCCTTACAGTCTCCAGGGAAAGGATCTCAGCAGCATTGCTTGGTTGGCCCAGGGTGTATATATACAACTGGATATCATCAGCGTACTTGCCCAGGGACTTCATGTAGTTGTTAAAAAGGAGTGGCAAGAGAGTAGAAATTTGGGGCACCCCACAAAGCAGGGGCCTGGGTCTTGACATCTTGCCTCCTACCAGCATTGACCGGAACCAGCCTATCCCCCATAACGTGCTTCCCACTCCCAATCCCCTAAACCAGGCCAGAAGGAAACCATGATCGATGGTATTGAAGGCCACTGAGAGATCAAGGAGGGCCAGAATGGATGCTCTACCCACATTCTGAGCCCACTAGAGGTCATCCTCAAGTGCCTATCAATGTCATCTCAGTATTGTAACCAGGCCTAAAACCTGACTGAAAACGATCCAGATAATCCGCTTCTTCCAAGGGCCATCTTGAAGGCCAACCATCTTCCCTGAAAAGGGGAAAATTCTAGTCTGGTATTTAGGGAAGAGTGTAGCACTGTCAGGGAAGGAACTCAAGGAATTGGCCTTCCTTAAGTTAGAAGATATAATATGATTTGCAAAAACATACCAAATTTAATCTACATTATCTGTTTCTCCAAAGGACTCATTTTATGTTGCTTCTTCAGCATTTCAGTATCCAAGTGCTAGTGAGATCTAGGAGAGTTCTTGAGATCAGAATTTTAAGTGTACTTTACTTTATCAAGATATTGTAACTTATTCCATTGCTTGGGAATATATGAAAGAAATGGTTTAGAAGCACAGGCAGTTGCAGTCAGGTTGTGCTAGCTCATCACTTCATATCTGAAGTCTGCCTTAGTCAACCTTTGGGTACATGATAAAGCCAAGCTGTTTGGACAATGTCCCAATAACTAAGAATCAGAAATGTGTAGTCCCAGTTAATAACTGTCTTATTGCCTTTCTTTGAAATATACATCTCTTTTAGTGCTCTGCTTGGCAAATTATAAAATTATATCCTTGAACTTAAATTCCAGAGAACCAAAAATAAAGCTGTAAGCCTTATGATAAATTACAAGAAGTTAACTGGCTCTTGAAATCCACTTCTTATCACGTATTATTCATATATATGAAAATTGTAATATTAAGTAGTTACAAGGATCCTGAAATGAAGAAGGTTGTACAGCTTATTAACATATTTTTGATGCAGCTAAAAGTTGAAGTGCTAATGAATTCCAGGATTGACAGTGGAATAAATGGTTACCACAGAATTACTTTATTATATTTTCCATAATAGTACTGTGTTCTCTAATGCCATTTTGATGCCATAATAATAATCATATTCAGTGGGAATAAATGCCAGCGCCCAACAAAATTTCTGTGATCTTAAGCTATTATAGGATCTATTCGAAAGATATCACAGTGCTATAAATACTGGTTGATAAGTTACACTCAAACCACTGTTTGCTCATTCTTTTGAGTGCATGAGGTACAGCTGGCCATGCTGGAACTTTGCCCTGTGTGTCTGCCCAGCATCTCAAATCCAGACCTTGTCACATTAAATGCTAAGATCCTAACAAAATACCTTTTTGTATTTACTGGAACTTAAATAAAACTCTCCTTGTGATTCTGAGCCTACAATCCTGAAGAAAACATGAAGAGAAACTCCAGTCAGACCTTACTGCTTAATACAGTGAACACTGACTCTGCAGAACAGGTGTACACAAAGAGTGCAGGTGACAGTGCCAGGGTTCATCACCCTCATCCTCTTTCACAGATCAGTCCTCACACATTTAGAGTACATTTCTCAACCTCAAGCAAAGATGTGAGGACTTCAACTCCCAGAATTCCCTAGCAGCCCAGCTGCTGGCTGGGGAATTCTGGGAATTGAAGTCCACACATCTTAAAAGTTGCTGAGGTTGAGAAGCGTTGAGTTAGAGGATAGTGCAAAGAGTTATTGCAATAACTGATGGTGTTATTTGATCCTAGGTGAGAGAAATGGCTGCTACCACTTTGAGTGGTTTGCTCCAATGCCATTTCCTGGTGATTGATGACCCTATGCAGACTCATTTTGAGCAGCTCTGTAAAAGGAGACTCCCAAAGAAAAGAAAACGAGACCTCAGTACTGTAGTGGATACCATTCCCCCTGCAGGTAAGGAGAGGCTCCCTCTGGAAGGTGTAAATCATGCTGGTTACATTGTCAGAGTGGTCTTCACTCCAATTTCTGATTATTTATTTCCCACTTTTCTACTCATAAAGTATTCAACATTTGAAAAGTGTCTGTTCTCACAAAGGTGAAGTCAGCCAGCAATTTCTGACAATCAGTGCAGTCTGGAGCACAGGAAAGGGAGACCTGCATTAGGGATTGTCATTGGAAACTACAATCTGAAGCTCCCTAAAAATAATGGAAACTCAGAATGACAATTGACATGACTGAGCTGCATTGGATTTAGTGCAAGTCACAGAAGAGTGGATTCTGCAAGGGAACGAAATGAGTCATGTGGCAGAAATAGGATATTGCTCTTACTTGGCAACAGTTCTGAGAATGCAGCACATCTGCATTGGATTGGATTACAGTAATTTTAAATACACAATTCTAACCTTTGCTTTAGAAATTAAGCAATAGAATCATTCTTTTCATCCTAGTGCAACTGCTATGTTGTAGGAATCTCATACTAGAAAGGCACTGACAAGTGGTTCTTTCGGTGATGGTTTACATTTAGAATATTATATTCTGTATTAGTTCTGCAATATGATATATTAATCTCCTGTTCTGCAGTGTAGGATTGCAAGCCTGAGAAATAGAATTCTCAGGAAAGGTGATTTGTGTTACACAGTGCAGCAACTCACTTCCAACAATGAGTACCAATAGGGGCTGAGGAACTCTGTGAGCCAATCGTATTATGAGGTTAAAAATTCTCTTACCGTTATTTTAGATAATAAAGTAAAATATGATTATAGCTTATATCCAAATTAATGTTCAGTGGAAGTGTCCCTTTAATGGAGTACTTACTTTTAGGGCACATCTGTAAGAAAACAATGGAAAAAACAAATGTTAATGATTCCCCTCCTTGCATGCATCCCTTTATACTCCCAAAAATCTGTTCAATAAGATTTAGAGAAAACTTTGTACAAGTGTGTGGATGACAGTGGTTTAAAGGGCTTCAGAAAGAAAGAGAACTGGTAAAAATCCACTCTTCCCATATCCTTTTTCTATAGATAGAAAGAGCTTGTCTGTTATTTGTGCAGTTGGAATTGAAGATTCCCATGCTGTTCCATGGGAAAATTACTTTTTTCTTGCAGATTTAGTTCAACGCCATGCTGGTGTGCTCGGACTTAGTGCATGTATTTTGTCCAGTCCGTATGATGTACCCACATGGATGCCTCAACTTTTGATGGATCTTAGTGCGCATCTGAATGATCCTCAGCCTATTGAGGTATGATTCATCTTCTCAGTTGTTGGAATCCTTAAACTGCAGCTTGGCCTCTTAAGTGGCTTCCTTTTTGAGAACAAGCCTTTCAGTCTGGTGTACAGAAAATTGTTGTTATAAGGATTGGTTCTTTGGGTTGTTTTGTTTTATTGTCTAGGTTTTAACTGAATGTTCTTGGTAATAAATATCAATAGAAGAGAATAATATAGAAGATAATAAATATCAAAACAGAGAAGAACAAAAAGAACAAACAAAAAACAAAAAGATAATAAATATCAAAACAGATTATTCAGTAGTAATTCTTTAAGTGGCTTTTTTGCTTTTTAGCTAGTTAACAAAGGTAACCATTTATAGAACCAATTTGGTCTGATTCTGACAATACTTTCTTAGTTTTATTTTATTCAAAAAGAAAAAAGAGTGAAGAATAAGAATAATCCTCTCAGATAAAATAATACATTATTTATATACTAAACAAAAACTTGTTGTCTATATACATTAATGTTTTGTACAATTAAACTTGTAACATTAAAGAATTCACTGAATAGGAAAAAAAAGAAATATATAAGCTAGTAAACACCATTCTTATATTACTGTGGTCTATAAATAATACTTCTTTTCAAGGTTAGGGTAACAGTAGCAAACATATTTCAAACATAATATTTTGAAATTAATTATTGGGAGTCTCCCAGGAGTCTAGAACATTTGAACAAGATTCTGAATAATGCATCTACACTTTCAAAACCTGGACCAGTTTCAGGGGCAAAAATACTGAAAAGAGTCAAGGTCTAGTTCTTGCTGTTTTACTAGTCCATAGCAGACTCCTTAAGGAAAGCCTTAAGACCAAGACAGATTATAGTTGTTTTAAAGACATTGCCTAGATCTCTCTCTGTTTTTCCCCATGCAGATGACAGTAAAAAAAACATTGTCCAATTTCCGGAGAACCCACCATGATAACTGGCAGGAGCACAAGCAACAATTCACTGATGACCAGCTACTTGTCCTTACTGATCTCTTGGTATCACCATGCTATTATGCATAATAGGGTGAGACTGTGTTGTAAAATCTGTACCCTTGGGCTATCTTGGAATGATCTTCTTGATATCCAGCTTGGCATAGCAAAAAGTCACCTTTCAAACAGTGCCTTGTAATTTTTAGACACATTAAATCAAACCAATACGGTCTGGCCTTTTCCTTCCTTCATATAGGAATCTCTTTAGAAATCTTGCTTAAAAATATAAAATTAGAATTTATTACCCTTTTAGCTTAAATTGGAAGAAAATAATCAAATACAGATAGGGAATATATTGAATATGGCATCAAAGACATTGAGACATAAATTTTGCTAGTTTTCATTATCTTGAAATCAGTTTACATTTATCTTGGATTATCTTTATCTTACATAATGATAAAACAGGGTTCATACCTTATTTACAATTTATGTGAGACTAGTATGGACAATATTTTGACAGCACAGGATGGTGTTTGCATATGGTAGTAAACAGGCCGTGACCTTGGCATAATGAAGAACAACTGCAGTGGATTTGACTGGCAAGCTGGTTCACTTGTTATTCCCTTAATGCAGAAGTTCTCACATTGTCAGTTGCAATCCCACAGGGGTCTCAAGCAACATGGAAGGGGGTCACATTTTTTTAAAGGCCAATAAGGCTTGCATAGGTAAATTGGGGGGGAAAGGCAAAACCTGAGGATCTAGTCATCTGTCAAAATAATGCATCAATCAAAAGAGTTTTATTTAACTCATTGTTTTAACTCATGAGGGAGGTTGAACAAATTCATTTATCATTCAAGGGCTCATGGTGTTGCAGAGTTTGAGAATCCTTGCCTTAAAGAATTGCCATGTGTAAAATATTTTCACTGATCTGGAATCCCAGAGGAGGAAAGAGAAAAGAGCCTCTTATGGGGTCAGAAACTGGAGAGTGCTTGCTTTCATGATCTTTGAATTGAATAGAGGAGACCTGCTTGTCATTGTACAGAATTGGTTTATAATCATGCTAAGTTATTGTTTATTGTTTTAGTAAATACATCACAATTAGCTTGGTTTGTACAATACATTAAACCATATGCCATACTTTATTTATTATTTATTTTCAAGGCTTATAGGTTGTTAATCAGTCAATCAGCCACAAGCATAAAACTCCTGAAATCTGTAATTTGGGTAAAACAAATACATAATAGTCAAAAATTAAAACCACAAACATACAGTAGAAACAATTATGTGCCCAAGGAATCAAACATTCCAAAGAACACTATTAAAATAGTTGCTCATTCAGAGGGATCGTTATAATAACCCTACCCCCAAAGCTTGGTAAAAATACTCAAAACTTCACCAACTTTCTGAAGAACAGGAGAGATTGGTAGTCTTCCTTGGCAGTTGGGAAGCAAAATAATGTATATTATTTTGGTGACAGATTTCCATTCCAGAGTCTATGCTTAGGAGAGGCAGAATGCCCTTGCTCTTGCTAAACATAGATCTGCTTTTGTGATTGTCAAATTATCCCTCTCTTTCAGGGACTCAGAAAAATAAGGGACTGCTTCATTTCTGCAAAAATAAAGGAAACTCAAAACTTAACTTTTTGTATATAGAATCCTTTTGGATTTGGTAACTCATAGACTTAGGATTGGAATCCTTTTTAAAAATGCATATAGTATGTCTCTTAGAAAAGACTAGATTTCTGTTCTACTGAAGAGAAAGGCTATGGCGTAGTGAAGGTCTCTGTGTGAATAGAATAATTGTAATTTTTCATACATCCATGCAAGTATCTTGTACTTAAAATAAATCCTACCTTTTCTTATGGAATGGCTAATATCACAATTTCTCTTTTTCCCCACCTTATATTCTCCAGACTTAAATTATCTCTTATATAAATGGATTGTTTGATGGTATAAGATGAATAACTGGGCACCCAACCATATAAGATTATGCATGCCCAACTCTTCATAGTACACTTGGGTATAAGTGTAGGTAGAAGTATCATCCCAATTTTTAAAAAGATTTCTACCTTTTTTTTCAGCTCACATGCAAAACCAAGCTATGCAGTGCTTTGTGCTCAGTTCCTTTTCAAATGTTAGCTTCTAAATATATACTGTTAATCCTTATAAGTTTGTGGCCAGATTTTCAATAAGATCCTTCACCCAGGTACTGAACTTTTAACCTTTCTCTGGTTTTATAGGTGGAAACTTCCATTTTTCCAGTTTAGTAGAGCCCATGGACAATAACAGATCTTTACAGTTGTTTTATTTCATACAGTGGAGAATATGTACATATGTTAATAGTGAGTGGCTAAAGATTTTTAAAATAAAAGGTTCTGTATTGATACTCCCATCAATACTTTCCTCATTCACTCCATCTCTCCATGCTGGAACAGATATTTAAGCTGCATTAAAACACAGAAGTACTGTATCTGTCCCCTCCAAATTCCTTTTTGGTCTGCAACTCTGGTGGCTATTGACTCACTACTTCACAACATTTTCAATATGTGTTACATAAATGTAAAAGATTGTATAAATTGTAGAGGCATTGCATTGGCAAAGTACTGTACAGTTTGCAAAAGTTTTACATAATCCATTTGTGAGATTATCTTGTAAAGAATCACATTTTTCAGTGTTAAAATACTGCTTTAGCTTTTGTATCTAATTGAAATGCCAATTTCTTCTGGTTTTTAATATCCCTGATTCCCATTAATGAGGTTATTTAGTCTTAGGTTTGATTTTCTTTTATCATTAATGAATGAATTGATTTTTTACCAGTATTTTTTCTCTTGCTACCATCCTAAGTAATGGTATATTTTAACATATGGTAAATAATAGAATGCAAAACTATCTCCCATTTTAGAAAACAAAAGCAACACAGACTTGAAAAAATATATTCACTCTGTATTTTTTCTTTGTGAAAACAGGAATATAATACACTTTTAAATCATCTGCCTGCTGGGAAAGTAAACATGGCAGGGTTACCTGGACAGTATGTCCTGAGAGTCAACAAAGAAATAATATGTATAGGGTAGTGCCAAATGCCTCCTCTTACTTTCAGTTGTGTACTAGTTTAAAGCTGAATAAATGAATTGTTTGTAAAATCTGTGTGTGCATGCCATGTTTATCATTCAGAGTGTCCTCTCAAGTAAATGCTTTCATTTAGGACAGGAGCTAACAATAGGAGCTAACATACCTAACAAGGATATTTGGGATCTAATTAGTCTCTTGAATACAAATGATGGTTTGTTTGCTTTTAGTTCTGAAAGTGCATGGGGGAAGTAGCCCCAGCACTTGAAAAGTTGTATTGGTACCCTTCATAAAAGCATTTCAATCTAGAGAGGTTTGAAAACTGTGGCATAACTTATGATGTTAAAAAACATGATTTGAATTATTCACATTTTACAAATCATGTCAGCTTTAAGTTTAGAATTAAAATGCACACATGTAATTATATTTACTTTTAAAACGAGGTACAATTTTTTCAGGAGACAAAGGTGCACAGATTGTTGCTGTTATTTTCCCCCTGTGCTTAGCACACAAATTTGATTTTGCTAATTTGGTTCTCTTAGGAAAAAGAAGAGTAGGATGGCTTCCAATCACAAAAGGGAGATTGAATTGTGCTGATTCTTGTTGCCAAGGAGATCTTTCTAGCTCAGTTCATCCTCTTCCCTTCCGGAAGGCAAGCCTTAGTTCTAATTATTTTATTTTGTTTATGCCCTGCGCAAAAATAATCAAAAGAGCTGGGAAGGAAATGTGCACACCAGTCTTGTTATTTCTCATCTTACTTTTGTAAAAATGTTATATTTATTCATGGTCTGGTAAACTCCTGTTTGAATTACTGCAGTCCCTCATATCTGAAAGTAATTTGGAAATTTTAGTTGGCATGATAGCCAGAATCTTGACTCACAATGCTCACTTGAATATCTCACAAATTTAAAAAAGCTTTACTGGTTGTCATTTTGCTTTGGGAACCAATTCAAAATGCTGAAGCTTATTTTTCAAATACGTGGTATTAAAATAGAGTAAGAAACTAAATGGGTGACACTGTTGCCATTACTGTATAAAGAAAAACCATTCTTGGAGGATTGAACATCACAAGGCTGCTTGCATCTTCTTCCAAGAGGCACTTCACTGAGGTCACTTCAGGATTGCCCTAGTGAGAAAAAATATTAACTCTGGAGAGGTAGTTTTCATGTTTCGTTTACAGGACAAAATGGTATAGCCCCTCCTGAAGTGCAATAAGAAGGCAACCTTGACTCTAGTTTTGGGAAATTGATTTACTATGATTATAGACAAAGAATGGCTGGTGGTGGAATGCATATTGATCCTGTTAGACAGTATGTGCAAGGGGAAGTATAGTGAGATTAGTAGGCAGGCAGCTACCAGGGAAGGTAAGCCATTTGATGGCTGTCCCCTCTCATCCCAAGGAGTACAGACATCCTCTTTATTAGTTGTGTGTTGTAATTTTGTTGACAATATTTTGATATATTGGCCCCATTTTATTCCAGAACAAGCAGCAGAGCCAGAAGTTGGAGAAGTTTAGGAACAAAAGTGATATCTGAGAAGATTACAGAGGGGTTAAAGCCTAATTGTTTATTTTTTTCTGTGGGTTACGTTAAACAAAGTTAACTATTACTATTTTTAATTAAGTTAAAGGAAATCTTTAATTCAGAATCTGTGCTGAAAAAAATGGCCAGATTTTGAAGTGTTCCCATGTCCAAGTCAGATCAGCTAGTGGGGTCATACTTGGACACCATTCAGTGTATACTCTGTCCTCCATAATAATACCTATTTGTTTCCTATAGCATATGCCTTCTCTAGTATAACCTCCAAACTATGGCATTTTGTATATACTTTGTTTTGAAATGTTCTATAAACTTTGTTCTGAACCATATACTTGACTTTGAGCAGTCAGCATTTTCATGTTCTGCACTTGTGTTTTAATAAATTTTATCTCTGCTATTTAGTCAATTTCTTGCCTAAAATAAACTGTACAAGGTTAACTGATATATTTTAGAAGAACATACGTACATAGAAAAAATATTTGCTTTTCCAGGAGAAGGAGCCAGCATGTCCTGCTGGACCTGCTCCTGCTTTTGCATTAAGAGTGTGATAATGAGCTGAGTATTTCTGACACAAAGTTTTTCCTTCCTCTCTCCCATTTTTCCAAGCGTAGCAGCTTGAGGACGGTAAAGGGGTTTGTGCATGGTAGAGGTAGTGCTATTGCTAAGACCTGCTCTGTTTTTAAGAACTGGCCCTGTTAACACAGATCATAATTTCAAGACCTGGAATAAAGGTGTACAACTTCCCTTGGCTTGGGGATTGCACCAGGATCTGCACTTCATCTGTCATGAAGTTCACAGGGGTTTTCTGAGAAAGTTGCTAATCTAATTACCAAAGAAGCAAACAGTCTAGACCAGTGTTTCTTAAACTTCTTTGCTCTCAGGACCCCTTCCCACTTTTAAAAATTATGAAGGACCCCAAAAGAACTTGTGTGGGTTCTACTTATCAATACTTACCATATTAAAAAATAAAATTGATGCATTCATAGAATATTTATTTATTGAATCATGTAAAGTAACAATATAAAACCGTTAGATATTAATATAAATAAAATATTTTTCATGAAAAAGCCCTATATTTTTTGACAAATAAAAGATGATGATGAAAAGAGTGACATTGTTTTAAATTTTTGCAAATATCTTCAATATCTGGCAAATGTCTTGGGGGACCCGCAGGGGTCCTCGGACCGCACTTTAAGAAACACTGCTCTGGACCAAGGACAGATAACATTTAGATGTACTGAGTCTAAACAAAGGGTTACCAGATGTTATAATACCAGGAAAAAAGTGGGCAAATAACTTTGCTATTTCGTGGTAGTTTCCTTCTGAAATTCAACAGTGGAATTTTTGTGGACCATATTCCTGAAGATTGTAGGTTGTACACCTCTTTCGTTAGATGTAGCATAACACTAGATAGTCTCCTTTTTGCCCTTCCCCTAATGACTATAGCATGTTGCATTCAACTTATTGAATAATACCAAGACATGCCAAGATCTGTCCTTATTTGACTCACTATTGAAAAAGAGAAAACAATTTGCAGAGGTGTTAAAAATTCTTCCATTCAAATGTGCATACAGAAAATTTTATTGGAGCTCTTCATCTAGGATGCAATATAATATGTTGCTTATTTAAAATAATCCTCAGCCTCCCTTTTTTCTATAGCAGTGTATATTATTCTGCTTAAGCCAAAATATATGCAAGCCCTGCAGCATTTGATGGGCTTTTATGCTAATTATGCTGGGGGGGTTGGGTTTTTGTCTTCAATTCCTACCCTAAGAGCTCTACCAACTCCATCTGCGGGTAGTAATGCGAGTAATAATGTTAGCTTTCATAGATTCCATTCCTTTTTTTTAAAGATACATTTTCCCTTGATATGTGGAATCTATGTAGATATTTGAAGGTATTAGGAGAAAAGGCTTAACTGTCCCTCATAAGATTTCACAAATCTTCCACCCTCTTTTCTGACCATTATCTTTATTTCTACAGCAGCACAAATAATTGTATATTTGTGATTTTCAGTGAAACTGTATATGGTTGGGAAACCAATGTCTGAGTGAGAAACAACGTATATAGCTGTTGCTAAGACACAAAAACGCAAATCGTGTGAGTCACTCAAACTTAAAAAAAAAAAGGCTATACAAAACTATCCTGATAACTGGGTTAATTGGTAATCTGCCTATGCATAAAAGGATATGAATCAAGATTTAACATCTCCCTCCTTCTTTAAAAAAAATCAGCTGCCCATCATTCCAGAAATTTTATCTCTGACCAAAATGTTTTCAGCTGTCTGAAATGGTAGCTGCAGTACAATCTGTAAGCAAGAAAGCGCATGAGAGACTATTTGGAAATATTTCATAAATTTTTCTGTCCTCCCCATCCCTATCTGAATGGCAACAGCAGCTGGATCAACACTACAATAGGAGTAAAAAAAGTTAATTCACAGCTCATGTGTATTCATGACTAGGGAACAAAAGGGAAGGTTAATTTGCTACTGCTGCCCAGATGAATATGTATATTCCAACATGATGGAAACCTCTCTGATGCTTCTCTACAACCCAGCTCTGTTGAATATATAAGTTGAAATAATGTCCCTCTGTAGTGACACCAAACCAGATGAAGATACTTTCCTTTGAAATGTGAATTGTTTCTGAGTGCTGTTAGATTTCATTGATAAGCACCCTGTGCTTTTGCAATTAGTCATAATAGTTTATAGGACCCACATGACATTGCTCAGACTGCAGACTTATATCAGCTGTTGAAAGTCAGACTGAGCAGAATATCTGAATACAGAAGTTAGAATTTAAAAATAATTGACTCAGAAATACAGTGCTGATAGAAGTTGCAGCTGAGAAATAGGAAAGTTAAACAACAAATGGTGAAAAGTAACCATATTTTTGCTGTGAACATAGGGTCTCTGATAAATGTCCAAGAAGCAAGACCAGAATGTGAGCTCGCAGTGGACTATATGAAAATCAATAGCTAATTTGAAATGGGGAGGACACAGATAACAGAAAAAATCAAAAGCTGATGAGACAGCTCCCTAAAAACTAACAATTGAGATAAACTGAAATAATCTATGTAATTTATATACAGGTAGTCCTTGCTTACTGACTGCCTCATGCAGCGACCATTCAAAGTTATGATGGTACTAAAAAAATTACTTTGCAACTAATCCTTGCATTTGTGACTGTCACAGCTTCCCTCAGACATATGATCATTCCTATGCTTGCAACCAGCATGCATTTTCGCTTGCAACAGACTTAATACAGTACTGCAAAATCGTAACCCCAGGTGCAGTTCACTTAGTAACCGCATCACTTCACTTAATGACCGAAGAGGAAATAAGGTCATAAGCCCAGTTGCAGTCACATGATTTTCCACTTAACAACCATGTCACTTAGCAACCAAGTCGCCAGTTCCAATTGTGGTTGTTAAGCAAGGACTACCTGTAATGATACTGAACCAGATTGTAGTAGAAGGGTGAGGCCTGCAGGATGGAAGTTGGAAGGTCCCAAACTCCCTCTCCCAGGTTCCCTTTGGGTCTTCATGCCCTGGACCTGCCTTCTGCTTTGGGATAGTGGCTTGTTAGTTCCTTTCTATCCTCCAGAAAGTGCTTCACCAGGCATCTACCCCTTAACCATGTCGTGTGTGAGAGGGCTGTCCCATCCTGTGGTGCCTTCTTGTTGTTCAGTCGTTAAGTCATGTCCGACTCTTCGTGACCCCATGAACCATATTGCGCCAGGCCTTCTTGTCCTTCACT